TTTAAGCCATTTCCCCGCTTTTTGGGGTTTTTTTTTTTTTTTTTTGAGAGGTTTTTGCTATAGGGCGCGTGCACTTGCCAGACAGAGAGAGACAGGCAGAAAGCGAGAAATCACCACCCCCCCTGGGGGGATGGCCACACCGCAATCCCTTCTCCTCCATTCTCCTCTCAGGATCTTGGGCACGCACGCACACGCGCCCAGCGTGAGTTTTAAGCCACCGGGTCCGGGACGCGAACAGTGGTCGACTACGTGGGAGTCCAGCGACATAGCCATTACTCTAACTGCTGGTCCCAAGGGATTTGACCATTCTTGAAACCATACCTTGTTCCAATCTTGAATAAACAAGCACAGGAGCTTTTGGCCTCTAAGGTACTGACAGATCTCCATCTGCGTATTTAACCATGCTCTTTGCATCAAACTGCAGAGCCAGTTATTTCTTTCCAAGATTACTGGAATCAACTTTCCTTTCCACGTCAACACCCATCACTCAAAGGCCTCACCTTGGCCTGCATGAGGCCTAGAATGCTGTTTTACACCTGGTCTCCCTGTCAAACTGGTACTCTGTCTTCAAGATGGTTCTAATGCCACTTCCCTCAGAGAGTTGCCCCCAACTTCACCGGGTTGAACTCAGGGCTTTAATCTCCGGGCACTTAATGCAGAGTGATTTGGATGTATCCGAGTCACTCAGCACATCATTTAAGCATCTGTGAGTATACCTATATTCCAGAGCACTGGAGAAGCTCTGGAAGGCAGCGGTGAGGTGTTGATCTTTGCACCCCTATATTTAGAAGGTCCTCAATAACTTCTTATGTTTAAATAAGCAAACGTAAAAAATAAACCAAGTGATTCCTGCACTGCCCCGAGGAACAGGAATGAGGATGCCCACTCTAAGAATGGGAACCACGTCTACCTGTGGGCTCCAGGACTCAGCACCCGGCTCGGTGTCTGACACTCCATGTGCATTTGTGCAGTGAATAAACTCGCCAGCATGCAACCCTCCCTGGATGCCCACTCTCCTTCTCCAGTCTGGACAGGCCCCCTTCACTGTGATGCTAAGCCCTTCTCATACCCTCTGGGAGAGCACGCTCCCATTCATCTCTGGGCCACTACCATGTGACTCCCTTACAGGGGCAGTGTCATTTGCATCTTTGCATCTTTTGGCACCTAGTACAGTAACTGGTTCTGTTAGATGCTCAGTCACACTGTGACAGCTGAAGGCATGCATATCCATCAGATGAGTGAGTAGCTTTGCTGCCCCAGGAGGTAGCCAGCCTCCAGCTTCAGGTGGGTAGCTGTGGAGCCTGGCAGAGAAGAGGCAGGAGATGCCGGCTTTGCTGAGTACAAACCAGAGTCCTTGGTATTGAGTAGCTGCTCTAGGGCTCTGAGAAGGAAACAGGAGGGGGTGATGGGGAGAGATGCTGGGGGAGGGGCGGCAGCCCTCATTATTCATGGCAGCATTTCTCAGGCTCATTAATTCTAACACGATGAGCTGGTTTGATTAATCGGGTTGTTAAGCAGCCATGTCAAATTGCCGATCAGGTAAGAGACATTACTTCCGGTCCCTGGCAACAGTTTGGAGCGACAGCAGAGTTTCTGCTCCTCACTTCCCAAGTAGCAGCCAGGAGATGAGGCAGGAAGAGCTTTTTAAGCACAAAGCCTGGGCCCCTCATCTTGGCTCAGGATGTGGGACTGTCAGGGCTTGCTGGAGCCCTCTGAGCCACCCATGTGCTTATTTAAATGGAGGGATCACGGCCTGATCCGGTCACAGTGCCTGGCTGAGGGGCCAAGGGGCCAGGGGTTTGCTGCTTCTTCTCCCTGGAGTGACTTGTTCAGGCCCCCCACTCTCCCTTGAGAGAATAGGGACTTGCTTCCAGCGCTGTAACTATTACAAAGCAAGGATACGAAGGTACTAGAAAAGTTTAACTTTTAATGAAGAAAGCAATCCAGGATTTTAGAGGGAAAAAAATCAGAAAACAAAAGCTATTTTAGCCTTGGTATTTATGCAAGCTTTGTATTTTATGAGTTAGAATATTTTTATGTGCATTTCAGAGGTGGGCCATACTCTATGCCATGTGTGGAGCTTTTGAAAGTCCTTCACCATCTTCTACTGGCAAGACCTGTGTGTTTTTGAGAACAAGAGAAATGGAAATGAGCCAGTGGGCAGAGTCAGGTTAGACTAGTAAAGAAGCCCCTTGCGTCAAATGCTGTTAAAAGCCAAAATGGTGGATGGCCCAGACACAGGGGTGCAAGAAATAGGGCTTGCTGTGCAAGGCTGAGGCCATACAGGAGGCCTAGGTTCAGATCCTGGGTCAACCTGAACAAGTCAGGTGCAGTGGTGTGTACCAAAAGCCCAGGTAACTGGGAGACTGGGGCAGAGGACTGCAATGGTGGGAGCCTGTCAAAAATATGTCTCTTCCTCTCTCTCTTTTCTTCTCTTTCTCTTCTCTCTTTCTCCTCTCTCTCTCTTTCAAGAAAGGAAAAAAAAAAAAGCTCAAGTGGAGGAATGTGAAAACTGAGGTGGACTTCTCTCCTCCACCCTAGTACAAATTCTTTCCATACAGTTGAGATACCTATGGAAGAGAAAGGTTAGATAACTAACTCAAGGGCACACAGTCAGGCCTTTCTGATATCAGACTCTGCTTCACATCACTCCGTCCACCCTTTTCTGGCCCTGGTTCCTGCTATCCTGGACACACCTTTGCCAATAGACTCGTCTCTGCCTCCTCTCCTGATCGCACTCAATCCCTGACCCAGCTCAGGCCCATCTCCCGTGACTGGCAGCCTGTCTTCCCTACATCAGCTTTGACGGCCTGGCATTTAACCATTCTCAAATCATCTGGGATTGGGGCTGCTTCTATATACCCCTTCCCCCCAGAATTGGGCACAGCAGAGATATGCAAAAGGTGTATTTACCAACTGGACAGGTGCCAGGGTGTTGGGGAAAGTACAAGCTGTCCCTGCTCCTGAGGCACCCAGCAATTGGGTTGGGAGGATTACTATGATTTTGTCTGCAGAGCTCAGCAAACTCCACTGATCAAAGGGCTCATTAAAGTGGGGGACACCAGATACTTCCTCAATGATCTGCTAAGAGCTTTAGGAGCGGAGACAGCCCTGGGAATGACTAAAACAAGGCGAGTGGGATCTTCTCTAATCCCCTAACCCCAGAGACACCACGTAGGAGAGTGGTTAAGAACGTGGTTCTTGGAAACAGACACTGGTTTTGAATGCCTCTTTGGGCTTTCAACTGTGCAAATTTGCACCCTTTTTCTCTCTCGGAGGCTCCTTTTCATTATCGTCCATTGCAGGTAACTCCTACCTCCTCACAGAGTGTCGTAAGGATTGAATGAGAGCATGCGTGCAAAGTACTATCATTCTAAGTCCTATTTCTAGAAGGACGTTGATTTCAGAGTTTTTTTCCACTGCAGCTCTATCCTCTTTTCCTACCATCACTCTAAGATAGGTTAAGGAGGTAAGGAAGGGAGCAAGCGCCTGAAGAATAAGGTTGGCAAAGTCTCAAAGAGAAGTCAAGCATAAAGAACTTCCTTAGAGAGGCTACCCTCCTAGGATAAAGGATCAAACGCACTTCTGCCTTCCAGCCCAGGACCTGTGGTACCACGGGGTCACTGAGCACATGTTGGGGACAGGATGTTAAGCAGAAGAACACAGGCTTCTTGGATGGATTAAGTGGAGTCATGCTAGGGAGGGATGGGGGCAGGACAAGGTGATATTCCTGTCTAGGGTTGTGAGTGACTTGGTTAGAGGGAGAAGAGAACAGGATGGAGTCTCCCACTGCCGATGACACAGCAAGCTGCAGGTGCAAGATTTGAGTTGTTTTACCACTCATAGATTTCTTTAATGCAGGTTTGGTTCTTTTCTATTTTTAATCTTTATGGCCTCTTTCAATCTGAAGGTCTCATCATTTTGGAGTCCTTGGGTTACCTGGCTGCCATGATAGTGGCAGGTAAGCCAAAGACTTCCTTCTCTACCCTCACAGGAGCCAAGCTTCCCTGCCTCTGAGTAAAAATAAGTAAATACAAGGGAACCAGCAGTTAGCGTAATGGCTATGTCGCTGGATTCCCATGTAGTTGACCGCGGTTCGCATCCCGGACCCGGTGGCTTAGAACTCACGCCGGGCGCGTGTGCATGCGTGCCCAAGATCCTAAGAGGAGAATGGAGGAGAAGGGATTGCGGCGTGACCATCCCCCCTGGGGGGTGATTTCTCACTTTCTGTCTCTATGTCTCTCTCTGTCTGTCTGGCGAGCACACGTGCCCTATAGCGAAAACCTCTCAAAAAAAAAAAAAAAGTTAAATAAAAAAAAAAAGTAAATACAGTCTAGTGTAGCAAAGTCAGCCCTAGAGCATGCCGAAGCTGCAGTTCTGGGAGATTGGACCTAAGGAGACAATAGGGACCCCGGCCTGGGGCCGCAGTTGAGAGGCGTATTCCTTTTCTGAGACTAATGTGGTGGTTAAGAGCTTGGGCTCTAATTCCAGACCTACTTGGGTATATTCAGTGACTTACAGTCTGTGTGACCCTGAGAAAATTGCTCAATTTCCGAGCCATGTTCAGTCATATCTTAGTCATTAAATATGTATCTGCTGTGTGCCAAGTTCTGTTCTAGGTGACACAGCAGTGGATGAAACGGGCTAAAATGATCTACTAGAAAAAAATGACAATAAATAAGACTAACACGGGGACCAGCAGATGGCGTAATGGATACATCACCGGATTCCTACATAGCCAACTGCAGTTTGTGTCCCAGACCCTGTGGCTTGAAACTCACACCGGGCGAGTGTGCATGTGTGCCCAAGATCCTGAGAAGAGAGGAGAAGGGACTGCAGTATGGTCATCCTTCCTGGGGGGTGATTTCTTGCTTTCTGTCCCTGTCTCTCTCTGTCTCTCCGGTGAGCACACACTCCCTATAGCAAAAATCTCTCTCAAAAAAAAAAAAGAAAGAAAAAAAGATTGGCATGTAAACTACAAGTATCTAAGATGCTATCATGTGCTATGGAAAAAAATGAACAAGCAAAAATGAAATGAGTACTAGCCCAGCAGGTGACCTGGTGGTTAAGACACTGGACTCCCAAATGGCTGAGCATCGTTTGAGTCCTGGACCCAGCAGCTTGAAAATCACACTAGGCATGTGTGTGCATGCCTCAAATCCTAAAACCACCCCTTGGGAGGTGATTTCTCACTCACCCCCACCTCGTCTCTGTCTATCTCTTTCTGGCAAATGCATGCGTCCTGGGATAAAATAAATAAATGAATACAAGGGAAGGGGGCAAGTTGAAATTCCAAATAGCAGGGCCAGCAGGTGGTATGGTAGTTAGGATGGTGGACTCCCACATGACTGACTGAAGTTTGAGTCCTGGACCTGGAGACTTGAAAA